GTGCACAAGCAAAGGTTTTTACAAAATTAGGGGCTACAATCGTTCAGTCTAAACTCTGCATTTGCGTATGTGATTTAAGCATTTGCCTACGGACAAAGGAATGGTCGGTCCATAAGTATAATTGTAGCTTTATTTAAACAACAAAATGAAATTACATAGACATGCCCATATGTTTTTTTTTACCAATGAACATATTAAATATCCAGAGAACTGATAAAAATTCAACAATACAGAGAGAATGGGACAGGACAATTGCACAACATCAAAAAGGATTTAATGTACCATCAAGTCTTGGGTGAGAAAATCATTCCCTCAGCCAGAACATTTCACATTGGCAGTGAATGAGTATTCAAGCATAAGCTTGACAATGCCTCAAATCACATGGACAAGGCCCCAGAACAAATGTCAAGGAACGTCTGGTTTGATTGGTGTATACAGGGACAGTAATGATCTGAAAGTAAGCCAACTGAAGCTAATCTTTTTAAGCACCTCCTGAAACTTATACGTAAGTGTAGTGTTTATTTCTTGTACTTCCAAAAATAAACTGTTAAAATCTGTAAAATAACAGATTTGATATCAAAAAGACACAAAAAACAAGTTCCAGTTTCATATTTGTAGTCAAATTATTGTGTAATTTAATGAAAGCAAATATTTATAAGAAAAATAACCTACTAAAAAAATAAATCAAGCTTTGACACAAAAAAACTGCCTCAAAGTTATTTTAAGCAAACTGTAAAGTAGTAAAACAAAGCTCAAAAATGCCCCTTAAGGGTTAAACAAAAAGTAAATAAATATGAAAACAATAAAGAACATGGGACTTTTTTTATTTAAAAATCTATATAAATGAGATACAGTTATAAAAGAGAGTGTAGAGGAGAGAAATTAGCTTTTACCCAACTGAGAAACATGGGAAAAAGCAGAGAATATGAAGATTTTGAGACTTTTTATTCAAGATTTCATTCTGATTTAAAAATGGGATGCCTTTAGGTTCACTACACACATTTATTTGTCCACGTCAGAATAGATTCTGTTGAGATCGCTAATCAATTGACCAGGCTTGCAAAAAATATTTACAGTTATTACAAACACATTTCAGGGCATGACTGAAATGGTGTGTGAAACAGCTCTCATATTTCGGTTCTCTTTTTTTGTTCGGATTTAGCAGTGCTGGTGTCTCGGGCCCCTCCGTGTGATTTATCCCTGTTGTTCAGGTGTCATTACCCTGCGGCTGAGTGAGTGTGATTAACAGTCTGCTGACTGCATCTCTGACCAATGGCAGAGCTGCTGGAAAACAGCAAGTTTTACAATCACCAACTGATGGCTGCTGACAAGAGCGCTGCACTCTACTGCAAATGGTCAGTGATGGAGGAAGTACACGGACCATGTACTTGAGTAAAAGTTAAGATATCTAGTGTAAAAATTACTCCAGTAAAAGTGAAAGTGCTCCCTTTAGTAAACGTCGACTTGAGTAAATGTATAAAAGTACTTGATTTCAAATACACTTAAGTATCCAAAAGTTAAAGTAATTTGGTGTAATGCAGTTCCAATATCTATACATCTCCTTTATAATTCATACAAGGTAAAAAAAAAAAAATAGCCCACTAACACCACTCTGAAAATACAATGTTTTCTATTTGTGATATCTTTTGAAATTATCATAAGGACATCCTACTAAATGAAACCATGGAATAAATAGGGTAGGGGGAAACACCAGTAGTCATGTATTTCTTTAACAATTTATTGTTTGAATCACATGACACCTTGCTCCTTTAATACATCACAGCTGAGCTGTGCAATAATTTGCAAAACGGATTTACCCAAGTTTACAAAGAATGTCTTTTTTCCAATTTACTAAACATGACGAAACAAAACAGCTGTATGTCCACTCTATAAACAAATGTTAGTGTTTGGATAAATCACACAAAAACAAAAACTAACACACCACCAGATTTCCCTGAAGACTTACGCAGAATGTAGAATTTAATGACTCTTTCTTCCTTTTCATTACTTCAAAAAATTCGCTAAAATATGACTCAATTTCAAAATATGTGCTTTTAAAATATGTGCTCAATTTCAATGTCTGGCACTTATCCATCATTACATTATATAAACGTGACAGCGAAAAGAAACAAGCAGGCAGGCAGCAGCATATTAGACAGTTAAGTGCGCAAACTTCACGAAACACAACGTGTTCTGGTTGGACACTTGCAGAGCACGTGTACTTATATTGACATGTCACTGGTTGCACATGTACAGTATGTTGTGGAACGTAAAAAGAAATGACAGGTTTTAGGAAAAAGTAAAAGGTTTTCCAATACGAAATGTAGTCAAAATATAAAGCCTCATAATACTCAAGTAAAGTACAGATACACTAAAAAGTTACTTAAGTACAGTAACAAATTACTTGTACTTCATTACTGTCCACCACTGCAAATGGTATCCACAAACGTCCGATTCTTACAGCCGTTAGTAATCTCTTATACTCAATCAAGCCCTTATATAATAGTTATGAAACCATTCATCGGCTATCATTAGTTGTAATCATCCTCATTCACATGACCGTGTCGGTGCCTGCTCCACCAACTGACAAGCTTGAGCATATCCAGGATCTCTTTATCTTTTAACTTTGATTTACGATGATTGTTCCTTTTAACTAAACTTTTTTTCAACAGTGCGGATTTTCTTGTAGCTTGTGGTTAAAATGCAATATAAAAATAAACTTTCCTATTTTGCTGATCTGCCAGAAAGGGGTCTATTTTCAATGCACCTAAAGTCTGAGATGTGGACGAATGACAGGCAGTCTTGATGTGGAAAAAGGAAATTAGCTTTTATGACCATTCTCTCAGAGCTGAGCAAATATTTGCAAGTGAAACTGAAGCTGCTGTCTATGATGGTAGGTTGGCCATAACATGAACAACTGTGATGAATGTAATGTGCTGGGAAACAGAAAGAGAATGATACTGAACCTAATCCTGTGTGAGAACTATTGATTTTATCAACAATCTCAAGGTGCAAGATGGTGCGAGAGTGAATTTATAGGTGCTTACAAACAGCATCTGACAGCTACTAGAGTACTTTTATTAGCTATACTTATATTTTATAATCCCACATCCAAAAATATTTACACGCATGTGTTGGTTTGTTGCTCATCACATTTTGTCAATCAAAGAAAACACTGTTACACCAAAAACAACTGTTTTACACAAAACCTATCCTAACCGGTTGTACAAACGTTTGCATATTTTAGGAATAGTATCTTTTGGGTGTTTTATCCATTTCTATTGATGCATCGAAGCGGGGCTTTTCAGCTGGTGAAATGCGTACTGATGTTCAATGCTGGATCAAAAGCAACCCAAAACAAACAAAAACATTCAAACTTAGCACAAACAAGGGTTAAAAGGAGCACATCATCATTCTAATGCAGCGCAGCACAGTTTCCATCTAGGAAGCAACAATGGCTGTGCTGCAATTTCAACGATGGTAGCCATACCTCTTCAGGGGCAGCAAGTCCTGTGGTGAAGTTGGTTGTTCTAAAACTGAAGGGTTGGCTGTTAGATCCCTGCCAGGTCCATTCTGCCAGTGTGACTTGGGCTGGCCAGTTCACCCAATATACCAATGTAGTTTATCACCACAAGTGTGTGAATGTGGAGTGAATGAATAATGTGAAAATAGATTTAGATGATTGTAAAACCCAAAAAATATCAGTTTTCAAGAAATCAACAAAGGCACAAGGAGTCAAGGTGTCCAACAACTAGCTGCTTTCTTGTCACTTTTATGTTCATCTCGTAGGTCTATGCTGGTGACATTTACAGTCACAATCTTGGCCCAGTCTGCTGTCACAGAAACAGTTGTTGTCTTTTATTTATTTATTTTACTTCACTTAGTGAAATATTACATTGGTTTCATATAATGTCTAAATTCCAAATCAAGTCAAATGATTTTATGTGAAGCTTTTATGCAGATGCGTAAAAGCAGATTCACAAAGGGACAAGGTCAATGTAAACTTGTTGTGTGAGAATATTTTGTGGAACAGGATAATAATATAATATATCACCAAAGGATGTAGTTAACTAGCTTTTAGATTACAGTTAAGGTTTAAATAAAGATCTGTGTTCTGACAATAATTTAAGTTCAATTAAAGTTTTTGATAAATTATTTGGCCTGGGGTGCAAATTTGTTTTAGACGTGTGGGGAAACCTGAGCACCCAGAGGAAAAACACACACTAGAAATTCCAATGTAGGTGGGGAACCCTCCCAAGCAGGTGTTCCTCACAAGGGATTCAAGCGCAATCCGTCTGAAAAAAATAATAATAATAATGAAGTGTTTAAGAAATGGCCACATTTACATTAATGGGGGGAATTAGTGATGGAATCATATTGCTCAAATTAAATGACTATGTATTTATTTATTTATTTATTTTTTCAATTAAAGCTGACATGTTCAGTAGGTCTGAAAATATATATATTTTTTCTAAATACTGTTTGTGTATCTCAATCGAAACATACAAGATGAACAACACTAACAATGTAGTCCAATATTTGCTAATGGGGTTATCTTGGATTACCAAATGATCCAATAAATTTAGTTTATTTAAACAATTCATGTGATTCCACGGTGAAGTCTGTGACCTGCATGCAGTTCAAAGTATCACTTGCAATTTATTTATTTATTACTACCTTTCTACCATAATTTATTATGAACAACAGTTTGATTATTCATAAATCTAAACCTTATCACATTAATATTCCATATTAAAGCACAATTTACAATTAGTTAAGCATTGACTTTATACTTCCCATTAACCTAAGAAATATTTAACCATTATTTTATGTGCATTTACATGTAATTGGAAGATGATTTCTGTAAATTTACATGGTCTGCCGGTGACCTCGGCACCGGCAGACCCCTGTGACTCCAAAAAAGAGAATAAGGGGTTGGAAAATTAATGAATGGCGGCTAACATTTGAATGAATGAACAGATTTTTTTTTTGTCAGTTCATGCTTTCCCTGGGATTTTTACCAACAAGCTTTGCGTTGCTAGCACAATGCTCTTCCAACTGAGCCTCAAAGCTCTATCAATCCTTTTTTCCAGAAATGTTGTTTTATTAACATTTACTTTCTCAACAAAAGCTGTGCATGAATTACTGCTTTTATCACAGCGTTCATCTAAATTCTCCTCTTCTTGAATCAAGATCTTAAAATAGCATTCAGCTGGTGCCACACTAGAAATACCACGCTCCTAAACACAGTGAGGCAGCTACTTGTATGTGTTTACTGGAGTAATAAATGTTATCATGTAGACACCATCTTTTCAACACGCTGCTCTGCAAATGATCTGTTTGCCATGTCATGACACACTAACAATGAAGCTGGGTGAAGACACCTCTTCAGTTTTGTTCCTTCTTCTAATAGTGCTCAGCAGTCAAACAGACGGGATTCCAGAGGCCCCTCCTTCTTCTCTCATACTTCTCAGGCTAACTGTGGCGGCGATGACTGTAAATCTCATAGAGTAAAATGTGAAGCATGGCTATGTTCTTCTGTGGTGATGTCAGGCTTCAGCTGCCGTTCAAACTTGAAAGAGACGCTGACCTTCTAACAGTAAAGGCTTGATACACTTCCCATTCATAGACACATGCAGCACAAAGTCTGCTTCATTAGAGATGCTTCTTAAGTCAGGAATATCCCCAGTTGCTAAGAAATGCCGCTCCAACCCTCATCATGACAATACAAATCAACATCTATCTCCAAGTTTGCCCTGAATTTTTTTAAAGGGATTATGCAGCAAGTTTTTTCTTCTACTAATTGAAGTCTACCAATACTGCTGTATCTCACTTTTCTCAGTTTGATACTTGGTTGTCGATCAACACGGAAGAAGCGGACTATTTCACTCTTCCAGGAGTAGCGGATGGACGCCACAAGAGCCACCGGTGATTGCCAAGGGGGCCCAGGATGTGCCCACTGAACGGATCTAGAGTGTCGCCGTCGGGTCAGTTGCGTCACTGGGGCTGGGCTCCTACACACTTCTTGGAGCCACGCGCTAGGCGAACCTGCTCACCACCTTTCCTGACAGAGCGCTAAGTGATTTTTTACAATTATTTATGGCACCATAAAAGTGGTGGGGTGGGGGGTTTTCTGGTTGTGACGAGGTAGTGGGTTTGATTTATGATTTTTCAGGTGCTACTCATCACCCTGCGCGCATTTCCCAGCGGTGCATCATCACACTGCACATATTCAAACACAACGCGGACAATGAACAGGGAGTCACCCGATCAGTACGGGAGATGTAGACTATTTCCCTCCGTTAAGTGTAGCGGATGGACACCATGAGGACTGCAAAAGTGGCCACTGTTAGGGTCTAGAGTATAGCCCCCGGGCCAGTTAAGTCACTGGGACTGGGCTGGATTCCAGTCCCCCGTAGGAGCATGCCGGGCGCTGGACCGATCATTTCTGACCAGGAGTCGATGACAAGGGCGCATAGATCTAGTGACCACGGACCATGGCGGATGCTTAAAATATATATTCAGCATTGAGTTGGGCGCCTCGGTTCATAGATTAAATACAAAACATATTCATATAATCCTGTTCATAATATAGTCAGTGGAAGAGCAGAATGATTTCCTGCCCAATATAGGTCTATGAAAAAAGCCAAACAGAGCACAGTAAATAGCAACCCAGTCATCATTTCATCAACCATTACACTTGTAAACAAAACAGTGACGGCAAGCACAGGGAATGACGAAAAACCCCACCCAAAAAACAGGAAAACTAGCTTTCAGTGTCTTCAAGTAAAGGGAGCCTGGAGCATTTTCAAAAATGCTTGGTTACATGAAAGCGATGCATTGTTTAACAGTGTTGAACATTGTTTAATTGTTTAACAAAGACATTTCACGCTCTCCTTGAAAGCAGCCTTGGGTGGAGGTCATAAACTTTCCATGTAACTGAAAAGGGCTACATAAAATATATAAACAATAATAAGTTTTTTATGAAAGTGAAATATATACATTTTATAACTTCAAGTGAACTGTTTTATTCTTGGATATTTGATTACTAAAAAATGTAAATACAAAAATAAAATAAAGTACATTTGTTGAGTATTGATTAGAGCAAAAGAGAGCATTTCATTTTTTAGATTGACCTATATCCTCCAGTGCAATCTATGATGCCTCTATGTGCAGAAGCTCCAATACTAATTTCCAAGAGAGGTTTTATTGAGCCAATATAAAACTTTGTGGCATCCCTGCTTGTTCTTATAGTTAATAGCAAAGAACCTGAAAGCTTTGGATTGTCATCAACAACCATCTCTTAATGGAAGCGCTTTTTGATTCAGTTCACATATTTATGATACAAACATTCACAGTTGGTGATGTAGCGTGATGTTTTCTATTATTTATTTGTCTTCATCAATCATTTGTCAGTCAAACAATTTTCTCTCCAGTTTGTCTGCACACATTTGCATCTGCTGAGCAAAACAAATGATATTTGTATTCCACATGCATGGTTTCGATCAAGTTTGATTCCTGGCCAGCAGCACTTCAAGATTCCAAAATGAAAATCTCATTAGTGTAACAGAGCTGAAAATGCTGCGTTAAAGGTGATTGTGTTTGCTTGAAGGGAGTTGGTAAGAGTAAAACAGGAAAATGTCAAGAATCTAAATAGTTCAGTTAAAAGTTAATAAATATCAGAATAGTTCTGAACCTGCAGATTAATCCATCGATCATCGTTAATGGTCACTGATTAACGGAAAGTTTTGTGATCTTCGGGGTCAATATTTCAAGTGGTTGTAGTGTAGTCTTTAAATTAAATTTGGAATCAACAGGTGTGACCACAGGGTGGTGCTGCAACAAAACATGTTTAGCTGACATTCAAAATTCCTGACATACTTAAAATGGGACGGTCCAACTCTGTAATGCATGATGGTCTGAACACATGATGAAGTGAAATGGAATCTCCTGACCACAAGGAGGCAACAGACTGAAACTCGGTAGGTAACCTCGGGTTGTGGTTAGTATAATATTCACCAGGTTTGGTCTTGATTTACTAAAGCGTTACTGAGATACAAATTGTTAATTCACCATTTATTATCACTTTGTTGCATTAACGTGAATTGCATAACTTTTATTCAATATGGCCGAAGGATGGTCTGGAACAGAATTTGTGAAAATTTTATAATCAGTCTACGAGTAGTTCCCAAAAGTAGGCTGTGAAGGTAATTGAAAATGGAGGCTAATTAACATAATGCACAATGACATTATAGAGTGCATTGCAATTGGCCCGAGACAAAATTTAAAAGTAAAGTTTAGTTTCTAGATCTTATCATTCAAAAGTTTTAAGCATAAACACATACTAACTTTGAATTAGTGGTGGCACTATAGAGTTTGCATTAGAGGATCCAAATTTCAACACCAGTGGACCAAATTTCATAATTTTCCCGCAAAATGGCTGAAGAAGAAATGGAACAAAAACCATAGATGCCTGCACAGCTTTACTGTCTGCCCTCTAAAAGCACACACAAAATATATTTAGAAATAGCCTGAATTGTGTAATCCAGTAATCATTACTTACAGCAAATAAAAACACACCAAAAACAGCTTTAGATTTGGAAATAAAAAATTGCATTAGAACTCCCCAAGAACAAGTTGCTATTCTTGGTTTACAAAACAGTGATGAAATGACAACCCGTCCATTCAATTCTATTGAGGAAATCTCAGCAAGTGTCTGGGATTCTCAGTGAAGAGTTTCATATATAACATTGATATAACATCGATTATATACTGTATATATATTAAAGGCTGACACATTGTTGAAAATGTATATAGTAACAAACACGTTGTTGAGTCATACAACAACATTTCTTTTAGCTCTTCTTTAACCTCATCTCTGATGTTGTCCTTTGGAGTTTTCTCCCTTTTGTCAATAGACCTATAATTTCATGCAACATTTGGTGTGTAATTGTGTGTCAAATAACAAGGGTGTGCAGATATCTTATTTCTAATGAATGCAACTTTGTTATTGCGACACGTCAGTGAGAGCAGCTGCACTGTATCTCAGACTAGACACTATTTTTCATGAGAGAATAGAGGAAGTTATGGTCGTCCATCTTTTAAAAGATACAGGAATAGGAATATTAATTTGCCTTAAAGAAAATTTAACTTTCTCTTATTTTTACATGGTTTATCCACAGACATATGCAGCCTGGAATCACTGGAACAAACATTTTTAGAATTCTTCAGCTTGGTGAAGACTTTTAGAAATGTTGGGCTCTCTGTTGTGGGGCCACATGGAGGCTGCATGCCATTTCTGCATCCCAACTCACAAATGTAACTCTTTAAAGGGACTTCATGTATCATGGGATCTTTCTAAGTGCTAAATTCTAAATCTGTGTCAGGTTGATTGACTTTTACAAATTACCTGAGGTCATCAGTCAGATATACAAACATAAAACAATAAAAAAAATATTTAGCAGAGTACCTTATTCACCATTTGATTGCCAACCATTACTGTGTTTTGATTAAATTTAATTAGGTAATATTAAAAAAAAAAAAAGCAAAACTGTCCAACTCAGCAAGGCATATACTCTCCCATGTGATGGCTTTTGAGCAGGACAGGACAAGGTAAAAAAAAGAATAATAATAATTAGGTTATATTAAATTTAGAAGGTTATCCCTTCTTTTCACCACTAGATGGCATCAATTTTGGATCTCTAAAACGAAACTCAAAAGATGATTGTGCATTTTCTCACATTTTAATTTGAATTACCTGGCCATTTATGTACAAGTGTCATAACTCTTATAATGTTCATTCAAAACAAAAAATATCAAAGTGCTATACCCTTTCTGAAACCTACACATTATATTTGAAATCAAAATGAAACAATGGGTGGGTCGTGACATTCCTACTTAACTCCAAACCACTGTCATTATTGGAGGATGCACCAGTGCATGCAGAGACTTTTAATGGTTAAGGCTTCAATCACTGCATGAAGTGCATCACTAAAATTTGTCATTATGCAAAACATTGCATGGTACGAGTTATAAAATGTTATAGGGCATTATAGGATTTAAGATTAAACTA